CATTGATTGATTTTCTTATGTTGAACTACTACTACATTCCTAGGATAAATCCTAGTTGGTCGTGCTGTATAACCATTTTAACGTGCTGCTAGATTTGGTTTGTTAATATTTTGTCAAGATTCTTGCATCTATATTCATAAAGGATATTAGTTTATAGTTTTCTGAAATAATCTTTCCATTTTGTGTGCCCTTTAAGATAGATTTATAATTACTATTTTACACTTGGCTTTTAAATCATGTGGACAAAAAAGAGGAATTACATATCAAAAATATAATAATGCTAATATTTGCTTGTGTAGTTAAACTTACCAGTGATTGATTTTTCTTCATATGGTTGGTTTCTAGTTAACACATAATACCCTTTTGTTTTAACTTGATTGACTTCCTCTAGCATTGTAGCAACAAACTGTCTTAGTTTTTGTTTATCTAGGAAGGTCTTAATCACTCAATCATTTTTGAAGGATAGTTTTGCCAGTCACAAAATTCTTGGTTGGGTTGTTTTTTCTTTCTTTCAGTACTTTAAATATATAATTCCATTGCCTTCTGGCCTCTGTGGTTCCTGATGAGAAACCAGCTGTTAATTTATTGGAGATCCTTTTTACATGATTGGTTGCTTCTTTCTCCTGTGTTAAAGATTATTTCTTTATTTTTGGCTTTCAACAGATTGATTATAATCTGTCTTGGTATGGATCCCTTTGAGTCTATCATTGAGATTCTTGTATGTTTAGATCCTTGTCTTTTATATTTGAGAAGGTTTTGGCTATATTGTTTCTTCAAATTTTTTTGGCCCCTTTGTCTCTCTCCTCCTTCTGGAACTCACATAATGCATATGTTGATATACTTGATGATGTTCCAGAGTTCCCTTAAGCCCTTTTTATTTTTCTTATGTTTTCCTTTCTGCTCCTCAGATTAAATAACTTTAATTGACCTACCATTAAGTTTGATTATTCTTTTTTCTGCCTGTTCAAATTTACTGTTGAAACCCTCTACTGATTTTTTTTATTTCAGCTATTGTACTTTTCACTCCAGAATTTCTATTTGGCCGTTTTTATAATTTCTATCTCTTTATTGATGTTCTGTATTTGTTGAGATGTCACTTTCCTAGTTTCCTTGATTTTTGACCATTATTTTATTTTGTTCATTGAATATATTTAAGACAGTTGATTTAAAGCCTTTGTTGAGTAAGTCAAATGTCTGTGCTTCCTAATGGATGATTTCTGATAATTTTTTTCCTCCTGTGAATGCACCATGTTTTCTTGTTTCTTTGCATGCTTCATTTTTTTTGGTTGAAAACTGGACATTTAAAATATTAATATTACTGGGCATCAGATTCTTCCTCCTCCTCAGGGGTTGTTGCATTACTTGTTGTTGGTTGTACTTGTTTGTTTCTTTGGTAGATTTTCTAAACAATTTTTAAAGAATATATTCTTTTTGCATGTGATCTCTGAAGGCTCAGTTACTTTAGCTGTGGTCAGCTCATGGTTTGACAGAGATATCTTTAAACAATGTGTTTAAATGTGCTTTTTCTTGATTCAGCAATTGCTTGATTGCTATAAACTTTTGATTATTTCCTAGAGTTTCAAGAAAGTTGATTCTGGCAGATTTTTTGCTTATTTTTTCTGTGTTTCTGTGTGGGGTTGTGCCCTTGGAGCTCCTTACTCCACCATTTTTATCGACATAACTTCCAACTGCATTTTGATTTCAATATTACCTTTCTCCATTGCTCTGCAGTGAGTGGCACTTTCTGTAATTTTGGGATCAGTATATAAGTGGGTCTGTTTAGTTATTCTCTATTCAATTCCATTGGCCTATTTATCTATCCTGCAAACATACCAAAAATTGTTAATTATTATACCTTTGTAGTAATTCTTACTATCTGGTAGATTATGTCTTCTATTTTCCTCATCTTTTTTGGCTATATTTAACTATTTTCATGTGAATTTAAATTTTAAAGTCAGCTTATCAAGTTTTACATATATACATACATACATGCATACACACATTTACAAAGCCTAATTGAGTTTTGATTGTGATTTTAGTCAATATGTAGATTAAATTTGAGGAGATTTAACATGTTTACAATATTACATCTTCCAATCCAAATACATATATTTTTTCTCTATTTAGTTATATATTTATTAATAATAATACATTTTATATTTTTTCCATAAAATACTCAAATGAATAAGAAACTTCACAAAGCTGTGAAGCATTATACCAAACTTAGGAGTCTAGCTACACAAAATCAGTAACTAATAAGGACAAGTAATAGAAAAATATCCCAATCACAACAACAGCAAATATTCAAAATTTACCTAAAAGAAAACTAACAAAAATGTACACAATCTTTTTGGAAGCAACTATAAAAATAGACTTAAGGAAAAGAAGTCCCAAATAAATAGATCAGCACATTATGGTTATTCATGGGGAAAAGACTATTTTAAAGATGTCAATTCTCCTTAAATTATTTACAGATTTGCTGCTGTGGACTGAATTGTGTCTTCCCCAAAATTCATATGCTGAAGCCCTAACCCCTAATGTGATTTTATTTGGAAATAGCACAATTAGGGAGGTAGTTAAGGTTAAATGGTATCATAAGGGTGAGTCTCTAATCCAAGAATACTGGTGTCCCTATAAGAAGAGGCAGAGAAATCAGAGATCTCAATTCACATGCACACAGAGAAGAGGCCATGTGAGGATACCGTGAGAATACAGCTGTCTGCAAGGCAGGCAAAGAGCCTTTACCAGAAACCAACCCTGCTGACACCTTGATCTTGGACTTCTAACCTCCAGAGCTATGAGAAAATAAATTTCTTTTGTCTAAGTCACACAGTCTGTGTTATTTTCTTATGGTAGACTGAGCAGACTAATACACTGCCTTACATGTACCATCCAAGATGGCAACCAGAATTGGGCTGTTGTTTCTCAAAATCAACCCTGAAGAAACTGTAGAAGGGAGAATGAGAGAATGATATCAACAGTACAAAAGCAACACAAATGAGAAATCCTTGAGGGACACGAAATCTGTGTTGAACTAACACTTATGTATGGGCAGGTGGGGGCATACCTTCAAGTACAGACAGATCTGTAGCAACAGAAGCAGATGACAGAATTGGTTGGGGGAAAGGTTTTGAAGTTTGGTCCTTGCTTCGTCTCGGTGTGCCTTGGGACAATGAATTTCTACTGCTTCACTGAAGAATGTGAAACGGCACCTCAAATCCTATGTGCCAGTACCGTGGGATAATAACAGGACAACACAAAAGTTTAAGTTGGTTGAAACAGTATGATCACATAAGCTTTGTTAATAACAACCTGAAACCTCTTTTTCTTTCTTTTTTTTTTTGGATAGAATTGGCCTTTTATTGCCATCAAATGTAAGGAATGGAATGAATGAATCACCACAAAAAGGGTAGGTATTCTTTTATAAAAAATGCATATCACATATTTGTTAGAGATGTAAATGTATTTCTTACTATGAATGAGTGTCAAAAAATAATGTCACTGAACTGGGCTGGCCAATGTTAAAAAACGTCATAAGATCTGAGTCTCACAAAATCATGCAGCTCAACTTCTTCTTAGAAAGTAGATCTTTCAGAACAGAAGGTTCCCAAAAGTCTAAGTTTGGCTGGTGGACAGACCTTATCATCCAGTGTATTTTTTCTGTTACAATCCACCACCTGTCTTGAGACCCTGCTTTGTGCTGCAGTTTCCCCATATGTATCTATCCTGGGACTTTGACCCATTCTTTGCAAGGTTTGCAGTAGGGAATCAGCTCAGAGCTTTGGAGGAGTTGGTATTTCCCAAGAAGCCTTTAAAGAAGAAGCCAAGAGGAAAACACCCTACTCTGCTTCCTCCACACCCAACCCTGAGATCTGACAGGACAATGCACCCCAGAAGCAAGGGCCGCAGTCTGTGCAGAGCCCCACCCCTCCTTTCACCCCCGGGAGGCCCAGGGCAGAGCTGTCAGCATGAAATTACCCCCTGACTTCCACCGCAAGGGTCTCAGGTCTTTGGAGGAGAGAGGTGATGTGGAGAGTCAAGGTGAGGACCCTTAGATACAACTGCGTTGCCACCCAAGCCCCCACCCAGCCAGAACAAATGAGGACTCAGAACCTGGCAGCGTTCAGCCCCGCCCCCACCCATACGCGCTAAGAGGCCCGAGGCATGGCTGTTAAACTCAACGTCCCTTCGGTTCTGCCTCGTGGTCTCAGGAAGTGAAGACCGATCTGAGGCTGGCGGACTCAGGTCAGCAGAGGGAGAAATCCCAGGCTTTATACGGAATAAAAGAGGAGTTTGAGCGAGGACTTAAGACTTTCAACCTCACAACTGTGAGTAGCCACACAGACTTCGGCTCCAGCGGTCTGCCGTGGGAAGCCCCAGGCAAGGCTGTCAAGCTGAGTCCCTTCTTTCCCTCCGGGGAGGTTTCAGGGAGGTGGGGGACTTGATCTAATGTGGGTGGCTGCAAGTGAGCACTGAAAACTTCAATCATCTGGAACAGAGGGGCCAGTCCAATAAAATCTTTTTTCCTGTTGTCGGCTGTCGGGTGGAGGTGGGGCATCAGGAGCGGCCCCATTTTCTTCTCAGGGGTCTCAGAAAGGTGAAGCCATTGGCAGAAGGGGGTTAGCTTCAGAGCTTCAGAGGGGGAGGAGACCCAGCCTTGCCAGCAGTTGACCTGATGATCCTGAATGTGAACGGAGAGGATACCACAGAGCCTAGACCTGCCAGTCCCTGCTCTCAGCCCTAACTCTCCCAAGGCAGGGCTGGCAGTCTGCAGCCTAAGACTCACCTACACTTCCTTCACTGCATTCTCGGGATGGGCTTATTAGAACAGGAGCCCTGTGAGTTTCTAGAGAGGTGCTCTCACAGACACCTGTAGAGGCAGCCTTGGTTAAAACCAAGGTGGTCTCTCCCTGCTGAAAATGTACACACCATTTCATTCTCCCTCCTCCAGGTTCCCGCATTACCTGCTCTCCTGTCCACACTCCCTGACCAGTATCATCATGCCACGGGGGCAGAAAAGTAAGCTCCGTGCCCGTGAGAAACGCCGCCAGGCTCGGAGTGAGGCTCAGGGTCTCCAGGGTGCTCAGGCTACTGCAGCAGAGGAAGAAGGGCCCTCCACTTCCTCCTCTCCTCTTTGTGGTGGCGATGCCCAGAGCTCCTCTGCTGCTAGGTCATGTGACAAATCCCAGGGGCCTGGGAAAGCCCCATCCACCACCACTACTTCTGCAGGTGCTTCATGCACAACATTTGATGAAGGTGCCAAGAGCCAAGATGAGGAAAGACCAAGCACCTCCCAGGCACCACCCACCACTAATCGTTCACCCAGATCACCTCTAGACCAAAAGGCAATTTTGCTGGTGCAGTTCATGCTGCGCAAGTATAACATGAGGGAGTCCATAACAAAGGCAGACATGCTGAAGTATGTCATCAAAAAGTATAAGAATCACTTCAGTGAGATCCTCAGGAGAGCCTCTGATCTTATGGTGCTGGCCTTTGGCATTGATGTGAAAGAAATTGACCCAATCAGGCAATGCTATGCCCTTGTCAGCAAATTGAATCCTAGGGGTGATGTAAGGCTGACTGGTGAGGAGATCATGCCCAAGACCGGCCTCCTGATGACTGTCCTGTGTGTGATCTTCATGAAGGGCAACTGTGCCACTGAGGAAGAAGTCTGGGAAGTGCTTAATGTAATGGAGATATATGCCGGAAGGATGCATGTTATGTATGGGGATCCCAAGAAGCTCCTCACTCAAGATTTGGTGCAGGAAAAGTACCTGGAGTACCGGCAGGTAGCCGACAGTGATCCTCCACGGTATGAATTCCTGTGGGGTCCCAGAGCCCACTCCGAAACCAGTAAAATGAAAATCCTGGAGTTTTTGGCCAAGATCCATAACACAGTCCCCAGTGCCTTCCCATCCTGGTATGAAGAGGCTATGAGAGATGAGGAAGAGAGAGCCCGAGCCAGACTTGCAGCTCTGTTTCGTACGAGTGCGAGTGTCCTAGGCAGTGCACTTTACAGAGTCAATTCCAGCAACTCCTCCCGCCGCTAGTGAAGTCTGAGGCACCTTCCTCACTTTGTGTTTGAAGAGAGAATTCAACCTTTTCAGTAGTGGAAGGATACGGTGGTGTTGGAGGGAACACAGTACATGTCATACCTGTGTTCCTGTTCTACATGAGTAACTTCTAGATTTATCTTTTGTTTTTGTTGGACGTTTTCAAATGCTTTGATTTTATCTTCAAAAAGTTTAATTACCTTTAGAATCTAAGTGTATGAATAATATTGGTTACATATAATATTTAATGTTGTTCGTGAGCCTTAAGAGTTAAGAGTTTTCCTATTTTATAAAACAAATTGGGAAAACTTCCATCTTATTTAGTGATCTGGAACAAGAAAACATGGCACTAGGCAAGGCATTTCCTTAGAAATGTGAAATAAACAGCAGTAAAATAGTTGTAATTAAGATATAGAGAAAAAAGTAAAAGATGTTAAATTCTTTGCTTCCCTTATTTCTTCTGTTCTGTTCTGTTAAATAAAAGTTATATACATGAATTTGCTTGGTTTATTTAAGAGAATGTAGGAAAAATTAAATAGTAATAAATTTGAGCTCTTATTCACAAGCTTTATAATTCCTCAAACATTAATTGAACACATGCTCTTTGGAAAGTTCCACGGTGGTACTGGGAAGGGTAAGAAAAAGAAGACTGAGCCACTGTCCACAGAATTTTAGAGTCTAGTAGCAGCTATCATATAAGGAAGATGGTGAGACATCCTGTAAGACACAAAAGACAAGTGAAAAGGAGTGTGGTGGAGGGAGGTGGAAAGGAGGAGGTCCAGAGGAGAGCAGTGCAGCGTAATTGCCCCAAGGCAAGGCAATTTGGGCCCTTGGAAAACCAGAAGTCCCTCTGTGGGAGGTAATTTTACGTTAAGCTGGGAAGTGGGTCAGAGGAGGGTGTCGGGGTGGTGAGCACGGGCTGAACCCTTGGTTGGTGTGACTCAGAGTTGAGAGACTAAGCCTGGAATAGAGAACTGCTTTTAGCTTTTAGCAGGTCTCCACCTGGGGGAGGGATGGAAAGTATCCTGTGCTATTGTCCCAGTGCAGGTGAACACAGTGCACAAAGCAGATGTTTTATACACACTGTCTCCAAGGAGTTTCTGAGAATTAAGGGTGATAGTCCCTTGAGGTGAGATGCCATGAAGCCACTGTGCTGGCACTCTGTGCCATGGGTTGGGGGAGGCAGAGCCCACTCCATTACAAGGGCATTTTAACTAATTTCTCTTCAGTATAATTTGGCAAACTCTAAGGAAGGGCTAGATTTTGGTAGGAGTCGAATGAACCAAAATAGGGGCGGTTTGGATCAAAGGGTGGAAGGGAGGGAGGGAAGAAATTGGTTTTTGACACACATTCTAGGAGCTTTGAGCTGCTTCCAGATGGGGAGGATTCCCCAATATCCAAATTAAATAATATATCCTGTAAGGCAGAAGACTTACTAAGGTTTTTTTGTTGTTGTTGTTCTTTCTTACTAGGGAGAATTTTTGGCTAATTTGGTGTTCTGTGTCCTATAGCACTGTATATTCATGGGCATGTCTTGGATTAAAAAACAAACAACGCATTCTACTAAGTGAGGCATCCCAAGAATGGAAAGACAAGCACCACACGTACTCACCATCAAATTGGTATTAACTAATCAACACATAAATGCACATATAAGAATAACATCTATTGGATGTTGGGCAGGGGGGAGGGGGCGGAGGGAGGAGGGGACGGGTATTTGCATACACAAAGAGTGCAATGCGCACCACCCGAAGGATGGACATATTCGAAACTCGGACTTAGGACTTGGGGGGGCAAGGGCAACATACGTAACCTAAACATCTGTACCCCCATAATATGCTGAAATAGAAGAAAAAAAAAGAACACACAAAAAGATTAAAAACAAACAAACAAACAAAACAAAACGAAAAAAATCCCAGCTAAAGGGATGGTATCATCTGGGGTGAAAAAAAATCATCATAATAAATGCCATTCTTTAAAGTCTCAGGACACACCACTCACTGTGCCAGGTGTTTTACATATACCCCCCCACACTCCAACAGTCCTAGGGGACAGGGCTTATCAAACTCACTTCACTAATGAAGAACTCAATATTCATAGAATTTGGTAATGTGCTTACTTCACACAGCTAGTAAGTGACAGGGATGGGACTAGATCCCAGATCTGAATTCCTCTAGAGCCCACACTGTTCCACTTCTCCCAGCCTGAGGCAGATTTTGGGTCTATTCATTCATTGTTCTTCTCATTAGTCCACAATGACTCTCAGGAAATAAGAAGAAAGATACTATGGAAAAAGTACTAAAAGCAGGCCTAAACAAGAAAGGTGAAAATGAGAGTTCAGACACAGCTTCGGATTGTGTATGGGGTTCCTGGGCCTGGCGTCTTCCTGTCTCTAGCCCCAGGGCTCCTCCAGAGCTGACTCTGCTGCCCTAGTCCCTGCACATGAGTCCTGTCCCAGCACTTTCCCACATTACAGGGCCCTTCTCCTGGGTCTTCCCCAGTGTGCCCTCCTGTCCAAACTGGAACTGACCTGCTGACGGTCTCTTCACTGTGTCCTTCTCTGGAGCCTGCACCTGCTCCTGGAGCAACAGACAGCCCAGACTCATCTGCCTTCTCCCTGACATAGAGGGTTCCAACTGCATGGAGGTCGTGTCCCTCACTGTGAACCCCCTTTGACAGCAATAGCCCTTTCCAGGTAATTGTTCACTTTGAGCAGCGAAGCTTAGATCTCTTCATCCCTCTTGGTGTCTACATTATACTCTCAAAGTATTTTCAAATGCTCTGGTCAATGGAGTCTGATTTGGCACAGAATCTGCTGGTTCTTAGTTTATACCCTTGAAGTTAGAGAGGAGGATTTGGAACCCACCCTGATATTTGAGATCAGAACGTAATGGGGTAAATTATTCGAGATTGGCCACTGAACACATCAATCAATGAGTGAGCATATCTAGGTGGTCAAAACCCCAAACCTCCCTCACAAGTAGTCAATGAGGAAAGATCATAGAAATCACCGTGTAAGCAAACATCTACTGAGACTGAATCCCTAAAAACCCAGGAGTCCTTCTAGGAGATAGAAAATGATTCCGTGGCAGATATGCTAGCTTTGAAAGAAAAGTAGAAAAAATTCAATATTATTCCACTGACCCTTGTCTCTCTGTTTATCTCTGAGGAAATTTTTAGTTTTAGGTCATACTGCAGATATTCTTGTTGCCCCCCAAATTCTGACAATGTGTATAAATCACATTTCCCCTTCCTTAATACATTTCTCCAAAATGCATCCCTCTCCTCAGAAGTAACCACAATTAAAAATTCGTGTTATTTTAAAATTTATTCTAGGCTTTTCCTTCCTTAGATGCTCTATAAAAAGTACATTGTGAGTTTTAACATACATGGATAACAGTGTACATATTGTTCTTCCTCTTGCCATTGTCAATGAATGAAATGAATGCAAGATCTTTCTGTGAAAGCACATATAGATCTGGCTTATTCTTTTAACTACTCCCTAGAATTCTAAACTGTGTTTGTGCCATAATTAATTTAACCCATCTCCTCCTGATGGACACACGAGTTGTTTCTCATTTGTTGCTATTAATATGATTAATAGAGCTGATATCAACATTATTGACCATGAATTCTTACAGGAAAGACATAGTAAAGTGAAAACTGGAAAAAAAGTCATTATAAAATTTATTAATATTTCTGAATTTCTGTTCTAATAAAGCTTTTCCAATTCATATTCTTACATATTAATATATGTGAATAATCTACACCCTCACAGGCATTTTATTTTATCAACCTTTTAAATTTTGGTCAAATTTTTAGATGAAAATATATGATCTCACTGTTATTTGAATTTCCCTGTTTTCTAAGTAGGTTGAGCAGAAAATTAACTTAATCCTTCATCCATAGAAAGCAAGATTTCTTCAGTGATGTCTGAAGTACCAGGATTTTTCTGGCCATGCTTTAAAAACCTGAAATGTCAATGAGATATTTCCCTTACTTTGAGGAGGAAATATTTGATCAGAATCACCAGGTGCCAGGGAAGGGGTCCACACAGGATACCCTCAGCTAGTGAGGAAAATAAGCAGGACCTGGGGGTAGAGCTGGCAGGACCAGCAGGATCTACAGTCCATGAAAGGGATCACCAAGTCTAGGGATCACAGGTCCCTGAAGGCTGGGATTCCATGGTACATTCTGTATCTAACTGTTACACAGTGGTTGTCAGTATTTTAGATGTGGAGCCTCTTATTCCAACTTAGGCCTTCCCCATAAATCAAATCCCTGATTTGAAGGCAGAGAAACATGAGTGAAGAAGGAACTGCAAGCCCATTTTCCTGTCCACTCAGTGCCCCCTCATCACTGTCAGGCCAGTGGTTCCTGAAACCCACACATCTGGGGTTCCTCAAGCACTACCAGAAAAGCTTGGTGCTAGAACCTTCCTCATGCATGGACTTCATCACATTCCTACATGGGCATTTATCAGTGTGGATTTCATTCTGCCCAATACACTGTATTCCAGTTTGGCTGCTTGGCTTTTCAGCACTGTGGAAATGTGCCCCCACAACTCCTGCATCTCTAGCATACCTTGCAATCCTGTCCCTTGTTTCCAAATCACTCATTGTCCAGCCCACTCCCACCTGGACACACAGAGGCACACACTGTCCTCTTACTTCCTCATCTATTCTCTATTTTCAGCCCAGGACTGGCTACCCTCTCTTCAAGCCAACATCCTCATTAATAATTTGCACAGGCTTTACCTTCCTGCCGACCCAGTCCCTGTCTCTGTCTCCCTTCTAGCCCTGTTTCAAACTCTCCTATGGGAGAGAGACCTCTGCTAATCCCTTTACCTGGTAGCTTTTTAACATCTAAGAACATGGTGGGCCTTCTCTGCCTTTTCATCCATGTTTTCTTCCTTTGAAAGTCTTCTCAGTTCAAGTCTATGCGTGTAATCCCTCAACAAATGCAGGGGGCTTGGCTGGCTTTATTTTGATCTGTTG